TGATGGTGTCTTAGACTAGTTGAAGTCTGGTCCTTGGTGGTTTTCTTGGATTTTTGAGGGAGCATACATCATATTTGGGTGTCTTGCAGCCCACTCATTTCCTGAGTGTCCTGAAAGACCATTAGCTTTGAGATGAATCCAGAGCAAAGGAAACTGTCCAATTGGTCTAGGCTGCAAAGTAAGTAGATAGGCCTCTTGGTCTCCATGACCCACCAGATCCAATCATGTTGCGATCACCTTGCTGACGGAGTCTACAGCAAGCCCAGGAGCAACAGTGCAGAAGTGAAGAAAGCTGTGCCCTGTTTGGTAAGTAACTGATCTTCTTCGAGAAACAGCTTTATCCTATTACTTGGCTTTGGTAGAAACTGAATGCTTGTCCATAGGATAACCAGGTGACCTTGCAAACTGAACTGCACAACATAACTTGCAAACTGTTTGATCCACTCTGAAGTCTGTAGTGCCCAGGAGCATTCATCATCAGGTAGAAAGGATAAAAAGAGACAGTGTGTTCTGCTTTGCCACCCATCCCTCAGTGAGCACTGACGGTCTCAACACATAGAGAGTGTTCAAATGGATAAAATAAAGCAAAACCCAAATATCTGCTGTATATATGAGATGCACTTCAAAAGATGAAAGAAATGTTAGGGTAAAGATACACCATGCGAACAGTAAGCTTGTGAAGGCTGGAGTGGCTGTCAGATAAAGTATACTTCAAGACAAAGGCTATTACCGGAGATAAATATAGATATTTCATAATGATAAAAGGATCAATTCACCAGGAAGATATAATAATTATAAATGTGTAATAACAGAGCTTATAACCTAATAACAAAGCTTCAAAATATGTGGAGTAAAAATTGACAGAATTAAAAGAAGAAATATACAATCCACCATCATAGTTGGAGATTTTAAAAAGGCCCTCAACAATCGATAGAACAATAGACCAAAAAGTCAATAAAGGCATAGATTATGTGAACGATACCGTCAATCATCTTGTCCTAATCGAAATTTATAAAACTCTATACCACAACTGCAGGATATTCATTCTTTTCAAATACACATGATATGTTCACCAATGGACCACATGCTGGGCCATAAAAGATAAAAATCTCAATAAATTTGAAAGGATTGAAAGCATGTAAAATATGTTCTCTGACCACAATGGAATTAAATTAGATATCAATAATCACAAGATACCTAGAAAACTCCTAAAAATTTGGAAAATTAAGCAACATAGTTCTCAATAATCCCTGGATCAAAGAAGCAAACACAGGGAAGTTTGAATGATAATGAAAATGTAAAAGAATTAGCGGGATGCAGCTAAAGCAATGATTAGGATGAAATTTATAGTTCTAAGTATTTATAATAGAAAATAGGAAAGGTCTATATAACCCTTACATTTTATCGTGGAATGCTGACTTGCATCCCCAACTTTATGGTCCCATGGATCGCAGAATTCTCCATTTGTGTTGGGCAGTTCCATGATGTCTCCTTGACAGGTGTTCAGTTTCTACGAGGATTGTTGTAAGCCAGAGACTGCTTTTCAAGTGGCGGCCAGGTGTTTGCAGGTGGGATCAGAGCCTTACTCCAGAATCCGGGATGCCCATGCTGTGATTGTCCAATCAGGATTGCCAGAAGATAAGCATACAATTTTTGTCAGAAAACATTTCCCAAGCCATAGGGTCTGTTGGATTATCAGGCTCAGCTGGAAACACAGCTTGCACTGTGACCTGGACCTACTGTACACCCCCTTTTGGAGCCAGGCCCCTTGCCCAGCTTAGAGGTTACTGGTAAATGAGTCAGAGCAGCAGGCCCAAATATACACGTAGTCTCAAACCCAAAGAGGACCATCCAGCTTCGTAAGTCTTTCTTTGAGGTGAGTGGTATGAGGTGTGGCATCTTGTTTCTCACTTTAATTTTTATTTAGTTGGTTAGTTTAGAAAAGGAAAAGAATTGACTTGCAAAGAAGTTTGTAAGAAACTCCAGATTTTGGAAGGACTGGCTCAACAAATAAAAAATACAACATGTATGTGTAGCTGAGCAGGACCCTTCCAGGGTTAGACCCCACTCCTTAATGTACCCAAGCTGAAGGCCGCGATCACATTTTTCTTCTGGGAGGCTATATATCTGGGCCTCTACAGCACAGGGCCTGCCATATAGTGGCATATATCTAAGTGGCTTACAGTAAGTACTAAACAATTATTTGTTGAAGGAACTAATGAATAAAGTTGAATCAATGTACATTTCCACCAACAGTATATAGACTGGTGCCTATTTCGTCCACATCATTGTCAAAAACAGGAATCACGATTATTTTAAGGTTGTACCTATGTGATGGGCATAAAATAGTATCTCATGCTAGCTTTCAATTTTTCAATTCTTTGAATACCAAGGAGGCGGAATGCTCATCTGTACAGTTATTGGCTGTTGCACTTCTCCTGTGACTTTCTTAATCCTGTTCTTTGCCCCTTTTGAAAAGCAGGAAATTTGTTCTATTCGTTGGAAAATCTTCTTCCTAATTAACTTGAGCAAGACCAAGTGAGACTGAGCTGCTCTGGATCTTGATCCCACCACACACGGACGGCTCCCCTTTCCCACAGTTTGTAAGGAGAACCTGCAAAGAGGGCACACGTGCACCTCCTGCTGGGAGCACTCAGGGGATAAGGATACCCATTACCACTCTTAAGGAGTGTGTAGTCTTGGCGAGGAGAAGGGAGGAGGGCGAGAATGTGGAAGAGGAAAGGAAGGAGAGAACCAGGCCAGGCATCAGGAGCTCCAGTCCACTATTTCTGGGCCCAGCTGTGACTAGACAGGGTGAGGAGGGATGGGCTGCTGGGACCCTTTTTTATTCTGACTCCTGCATCCATATCCAATCAGTTCCTATTTCCAGTCGACTCCCCCACTGCCTCCCACCTGGTTCTCCTGCCTCCAGCTCCATCCTCCCCATTGGCAACCACCAGTGATTTTTCTAAAAGATGAATCTGACTCTTCAGCATTATTCCCAACTCTCCTCCCAAGATGCCAGCCACGCACACCCTCCAGTGGCTTCATATTGCCCTCAGGATTGAATAAAAACTGCTACAAGTTGACTCTGCAGGCCCAGAGCACCCCAGCCTTAAGTCCCTCTCCCAGGCCCCTCAGTAGGACACTGCAGTACAAGAGTCTCTTCACAAGTGATGCTGGGTTCCTGTGGAGGGTCAGCTGGGTGGGCTCTGCAGAGTAAGCATCTCTTGGGGATGGCAGGGGGACCCACCTGGTAGAAGTGTGGCAGTGGCTCCTCAGAGGGGGCAAAAGAGAGTTATCCCTTTCTCATCCCCCTTTTTCCCAATCCCTGGATAAAATCCAAACTCCTTGCCACAACCCCCAATGCCTTCCTCTGATCTTAAGTCTTCCTGTTCTCCATCTCCTCACCCAACAACCACCACATTGGTCTTTTTTCTTTATGTCCCTTTAATATATGGAGTTCTTTCCATTTTAGGGACTTTGCACTTGTTATTCCTTCTGTATGGAACATCCCTTTCCCAAGTTTTCCATGACTGTTTCCATCACTTAAACCTCAGCTCAGATTTCAGCTCCCTAGAGAAACCTTCCCTGATCAAACTGCATATAGTCCCCCATCCTATCACCCTGTTTTATTTCTTCCATAGCTCTAGTCACCATCAAATATTACACTATCTATTTTATTGTTTCTATGCTAGATATAAGCCCTGTTGGAGATATTTGTATCTCATTCACCCACTGCATCCCCAGAGCCTAGAACAATGCCTGGCACATACAGACATTATGTACCATGATCCCTGTCCTCACAGAAATGAGTCTATTAAGGGAGATATATTTTAAGCAAATAATTATGCAAACAAATAACTACAAGTAGAGTCCAGTGTTTGAGGCAGAGGTGCAGGACCCTCCTCCACTGCTCTGCCCATCCAAGGATCATTTGCTTACCCTATGGGCAGTTTTCTGCTACAAGACGCTGGCTTCCCCTGGAAACTGTTTAGAGCCCAGAGGATTCACCCAGGAATCAGGCCTCAGGAACAGGACAAGATTTGGACCTCCAGGCCCAGTTTTGGGGTCTAGCTAGACTTGCGGCTGCAGCCTTATGTCATCCTAACCCCCAAGCCAGAACAGACTACAACATTGATAGCTCAATTGTGTGGGCTGTTTGTTCCTCCAGTCCCTGCGTGGATCTTTGGCAGGCCCTTGCTTGGGGTCTGGTCTCTTTGATACCTTACAAGCTCCACTCCATTCCCATGCTCAGTGCCCAGTGTCTTCCACGTTTGGAAGCTAGTTTTCAGAGGCTGAATTTGGGAGCTCCTTCCCATGTCTTCTACCCTTCCTCAGGACCTCCTGTTCTAGAAGTCTGTCTCTAGGGAGATCAGCAAGTTTCTTTCCTTGAGGGGAACTTCCTCCAGCTGCTCCCTTTTCGGGGCTGTGTTCTTGGACCTCTTTGTAACCCACACGAGTGGAGTTAGCACCCAAAGTAGTGAAGCTCCGGGAAGCTGGGGTCCAGGAGAGCCTCACGAGGCCCTGACCCACAGACACCCGCATCACAGGAAGCGCAAGTGAGGGCTCCCGTCATCCAGGGAAGCTTTGCCTTGTTTAGCTGACCATTTCATCTCCAACGCTTAGTACAGTGTCTGATACATACTTAGCACTTAATGAACAGGGGCGATTAATACCACTAACTCATTTAATGAAAAAAGGCACCGTGCTAATGTTTACATGGATTTATGCAGTTCATTCGCTCAAGTACCATGACAGAGAAATTAAGCGACTTCCAAGGTCACAGAGCTGTACAATCTCTTTTCATTGCCCGAAATGCGACGGAGCAACATAAAGGGAAGATGCCAGAAAGCAGGCAGCGCAGGAAACCGGCGGACTCATGGGAGCCAAGGACGCGGACAGGCTCCATACGGTCAGTAATTTTCACAGTGGGTTGCCGCCCGGCTCCGTTTCCACTAAGCACAAACCGGAAGTGTTCCTGTCGGCCGCGTTTCTAACACGCACGACCGGAAGTTTCTGTCCGCGGCTTTGCGGGGATAGGGGAGCCTTCGGGCTGCAGTCAGGAAGTCCAGGTGCGGAAACGCTGGGGCTTAGGAGGCAGCTAGGGGCGTTAGGGAGACCCAGGCGGAGAGACACAGGCGGAGCCCGACCTGACTTGGGCCACCCTCGCCCTCGCGGTCGGCCTCTTCACCCCGCCCCCACTAGGGGCTGAAGTGGCTCCGCCCCCTGATCTGAGCCTGGTTCCCCGTCAGGCACTGACCCTTGACCTCGGGGCGCTCCCCCATCTCTCAGGCGCGATGGCTACAGGCGCGGATGTGAGAGACATTCTAGAGCTCGGGGGTCCAGAGGGGGATGCAGCTTCCGGGACCATCAGCAAGAAGGACATTATCAACCCGGACAAGGTAGCAGGGGTGCCTGAGAACGTTGGGTCGCGGGAGTGCAGTGGGGGGGGAGGAGTGACAACGTGACAACGTAAGAGAGCTGGGGGAGATGATGGGGTGCCACGCATCTAGTGAGATGGGCGGTAAAAGATGTGACATAACGGGGTAGAGAATATGTGTCACCTTGATGAAATTGGGAAGGAGGAAGTGGGACATCCATAGAAAATGGTGGGGACCAAGAGGGTGGGACACTTGTAAGAGATGAGAGGACCTAGAGAGTGTGACACTTGCAGGATATTGGGTCGGCGGGGGTCATCAAGTCGTTGTGACATGCTAAGAGATGGTGGAAAATTATCTTCTGCTCTGACAGGTCAGGGCTCTCCCCAGGTGAGGTGGGGTGTGGAGAATGACCTGCTCAGACCTTAGGTGCCCCTTGAGTGGGTTTCTGTGCCTTCACAGTGTGTCATTATGTGTCATAGTGTGTATGTGTGTCATTGTACCTGTAGGTGCCGGTTTGTTCAGGGACTGAGCTGGGCTAAAGAATTTTCAGGGAAGGGAGTCTAGGCTGTGGTTCCTCTCCTGTGGTTTCCCTTCCCAGAAAAAGTCCAAGAAGTCCTCCGAGACCCTGACCTTCAAGAGGCCCGAGGGCATGCACCGGGAGGTCTATGCACTGCTCTACTCTGACAAGAAGCAAGTATTGGAATCCCAAGTCCCCCAGGCTCTGGCCCCTGACCAATCTCCATGTTCCTCATTTCTAATTTTCTTAGCCAATTTTCTCCCCACCTTCCCTCCCCAGGCAGGGTTCCTGCTTGCTTAGTAGGATGCAGGAAGAACTCAGATCTCTCATTCCAGGACATGACTTCCTTGCTCTAGGGTAGATCAGCAACCTGGGTCTACAGGCTCTTCATACACTTTCTGACTCTAATCTCTCAACTCCCTAAACCCTTCTGCCAGAGATGCGCCCCCACTGCTACCCAGTGACACTGGTCAAGGCTACCGCACAGTGAAGGCCAAGTTGGGCTCCAAGAAGGTACGGCCCTGGAAGTGGATGCCCTTCACCAACCCGGCCCGCAAGGATGGAGCCATGTTCTTCCACTGGCGACGGGCCGCTGAGGAGGGCAAGGACTACCCCTTCGCCAGGTTCAATAAGGTGAGCCACCACCACTTGGATGTATGCCAGGGTTGCGTGAGCTCTCTTCTCCCAGGGTTGGCTCCAGAGGCACGCTCAGGCCTGTCTCAACTGGGGTTACCCAATCAGTCCTCGGGGCAGATGCCTGCAGGGTGGGATCCTGATCTTTTCTGCCCATGGGATTCTGTCCTCCCCTGGACCAGCTCTATTTTTGGTGTGCTCTCTTGGTGCTTCAGATGTCGCTATTCCTTAGAGCTGTGGCCTTGGTGCTCTGCTCATCTTACTTTCTATTTTCTCCCTAATGTGTCTCATTTACTCTGTGGCCTCAGTGACCCTCTGTGTGCCACTGACCTCAATTTAGAATCTCCATTCCAGAGCACAGTTCCCACGTAAACAATCATTTACTTAAGTCTCTCCCTGAAGGCCCCACAGGTACTTCAGACCAAGTAGATGCCCTTGGGCAGAACTCATAATCTTCCGTCTATTCCCCACCCCCAAAGCTGTTCCTCATATGGGTGAATGGCACCACTGTCCACCCCGTTGCCCAAACCAGACACTTGGGAATCATCGTTGACTTAGCTTCTCTCTTAGCTCTCACATTATTTCAGTCAACACCAGGACAAGGAAGGTAGGGGAAGACAGGTAACAAACATGTAAGCAAGTAAGTTGGATTCTTTCAGATAAGAGCCATTAATAAAATGAAACCAGGATACAAATGGAATATGAAATTAGATAAAGAATGAACTTGTGGGTGTAAGGGGAGGTCTAATTTAGATGGGGTCGTCAGGGAGGGCCTCTCTGAGATGCTGGCATTTGAACTTGACCTTAGTGATACATCCAGCATTGGATACATCCAGAATCAGCACTGCTGATTCTGCTTCCAGCGTAAATCACATCTCCCTTTGTTCTTTATCCTTATGCCAGCACACTGGTCCAAGCTGGATTATCTCTAGTCTGGATTACTGAGGCTCAGATGGAGCAGGGCTTTGCCCAGACTCAGCCTGCCAGTGATAAGCAGAGCTGAGCTGGGCTAGGATTTCCTCAGCCATTGTTTAAGCCAATATGGCCCCCTAGTCCCTGCAGCTTGAAACAGCCTAGACTTCGAGCCTGAAAGCACTGAGGGCTTGAACCCAGGACTCCCAAGTCTGACTTCTTTCCCCTCAGCCAGTGTATCCACCTGCATGTGGACACCTCCCCCTGGATGGCTCACAGGCTTCTCAGACTCAGCACATCCAGCTGTGACTCATCACTCTCCCCCACGTCCCCCGGCTGGTTTTCTTCCATCTCACCTCCATCCTTAGGCCCATCAGGTCCAGTAGAGGGAGAGCCTGGAGATAAAAGATTGAGAAGGGAGAACCAAGAGGTAAGGCATTTGAGGCGAGGGAGGGGTGGCTGGATGAAACGAATTTGAGGTAAAGACGAAAGAGTATCCATTTTGTGTTTAGTAAATGTTGCTCTGTGGCCAGTCAAATCCAAGGCAGTGAGGACACAAAAGTGAATCAGACACAATATCTGCCCTGGAGGAGCTCCCACGTTGTTGGGGCGTGGGAGACACAGGCAGTTACAGTCTGGTGGGATACCTGCTATACTGGGAGGAACTGAAGGTCCAGGAAACTTCCTGGAGAAGTTAGAGCTTGAGTTCTCTTGAAGGACGTCACCAAGTGACTCTAGGGAAGGAGTGCAGTGACTTGTCAGGCAGAGGGGACAACATGAGCAAAGGCATAAATGAAAAAGCAGTCACACATATGGGACACTGCGGGCACTTCCCTGTTGATGAGGCCTGTAGCCCGAGGTAGGACGTGGTGGGAGATGAGGCCTGAGAGGGCAGCAGGAATAGTCTTCTCTCCAATACTGCTTATTCCTGGGGTCCTGTTTTCAGTCCGTGGCTCCCCAGCCACTCTTGCTCACACCAGAAACACTGGCATTACCTGTGACAGCATCTTCCCTCACCCCTCGCATCCAGCTGTCTAGTCCTATGATGTTTAAAGCTTCTCAAGTCCATGCCCTTTTCTCTACCTTCCACTGGTGCTGCTTCATTTCAGGCCTCTTCACTTGCCACCTGCATTATTTCTTAAACTTGCTGGCTGGTCTCCCAGGCTCCGGTTTCACCCCATCTGTCTTCATTGTTGGTCTTTATAAAAGAGAATCCTGACCTTCTACTCCTCTCTTTAAAAAAACTAACCTTATCGGCTCCCATCACCCCCAGGATGAATTCCAGCCTCCTCAGCGGGCACACAAGGCCTGCATAGCCCACCTCTGCCGGCTCTCCAGGCTCTCTTCTTGCCTCTCCCTCTCACTCTTTCCTTGTTTACCTAACGTGTCCCGACTGCTAAGCCCGCACACACCAGGCTGTTTCTCTCTCATCACTGTCTGTGTTGCCCCCTCTGCCTAGGATTCTCTCCACTGCCTTCCCTCACCTTAAGACTGAACCAGGCCTCATTTACCTTTTCCTTGACAACCCTCGTCCCAGGCTGGATCAGGTGTCACTCATTACACCCCAGGCATACCTTTTTTGTCAGATTCGCCACACTGTACTAAATTACTTTTCCATCTGGACTGTGAGCTCTGAGAAGGAAAGGCCCCTGTCTCTTTGATTCAGCATTGTGTCCTCAGCATACAGCTAGCAGGCCCATGATAAATGTTTGCTGAATAAATGAACATCTCCCTGGTTTGACCATGAGCTTCTTGAGAGCAGGACTGGCTGCATAGTGCCTGAGTATATTTTTTAATTAAGTGGAACTGAAGTGCGTAGGAGGGTTACTTAACCAACTGGGAAACCAGAGAAGCTTCCCAGAGGAGATGTTGTCTGAAAGAGATCAGAGGGATGAGAAGTTATCTAGGTTAAGGAATGTGGAAGTGGGAGGGCATTTCAGGCAAGAACAACAAAGGCTGAGGGGGAGAGCCTAGTATATTCCAGGGACTACTAGTTATTTGGCTGGAACTTAGGGCCCCTGAAGGACAGTGGCTGCAGAGAGAGTCCACGTCATTCACCCATGTGTTCATTGATTGATTCAGTAAATCTTCATCGATACCTTAAGTTTCCTGGTCCTGTGCTGAACCCTGAAGGTAGGAAATGAACCAGACTTGCTCTCAACGAGTTTGCAAATTATCTAGAAGGCACTTTTATCTTAGAGTAGCCTGGAGCCTTTGATGGGTTTCATAAGGGGTGGTTGGGTGACATGATCAGACATATATTCCAGAACAGTGATTCACAAATTATCTGTGATGAAGGACATTTTTTAAAAAATCTCCAATTTATCAGCGATTGATAAAGATTGCCAAAAAAAAAAAAGACAAAATTACAAAAAAAAGACAAAGTACAAGTTTGTGTTTCTTCATACTAGATTTAGCAACATACGATTGTTGTAAAATTGTTATAAAGGTTTCTAAATGTCTACTCTCAATTTCTATACGTACCAGAGACCAGTGATAAGTTTGCAGTAGCACTGGTCTGCAGGCTGTCCTTCAAGTAGTACTGTTAGGAGAGATCACATCTCGGCTGCAGATGGATAATTGCTTGGAGGAGGATTAAATGGAGGGAGAGAGACCAGTGGGGAGGCTGTTTCTCCACCTAGGCAAGTGGTAGTGGTGGTGTGGAGAGGGGTGGAGATAGAGAACCAGGAGGTAAAAGTCACAGATTTGGGGAAGGGGAAGGGTCAAGGGTAAACATAGGAATTAAAGATGTCTTCTAGGTTTCTGGCTTGGGTGCTGGTGACATTGAGATTTGGACTAAAGGAGATATAAGTTTGAGGGTGGGTGAGGAGCTCAGTACTGAACATATTAAGGTTTTTTTTTTTTTAAATTGAGGTATATTGACATATATTAGCTTCAGGTGTACGTGATTCAGTATGTATATATATTATGTATATATATAGCAAAATGATCACCACGATAAGTCTAGTAAACATCTGTCACCTGAATATATTAAGGTCAAGGTGTATGTAGGACTTCCAGTAGTTGTTGTCCAAGAGTGTTTTGAGAGCAGGTTCAGAGCTGGTGTGGTCTTTGATGAAGAAACTTCCCTGGTCCAGCCAAGCATTATCTTCTTCCTGGGGTCTCTGATGGACAGACCCAGCTGAGGGTAGTGCTGTTTGTCCCTGAGGAGGTCTAGGGGACAGGCATTGGCAGGGACGCGTATGTTGGAAGTGGGATCCAGGTGCCTTTTCTGTAGAGACGTGACCTTGATCAGCTCTAGGGAAGCTGCAAGTCTCACTGTCACCATTGGGTGGCAGGAGTGCTTCAGACAAGTGTTCCATGACTAGGGCTTGCTGGCCTTTCTCCACAGTTTAGCCATCTGCCCTACTCCAAAGTTGATCTTTGGACTCCACAGAAGCGCTTACATGTGGGCCCCTCACCTTAACCATGGGGTCAGGAGCATGTGTCCTGTTACGGAGGTTCTGGAGTTGAAGGCATGGTGAAGTTGGTCCTGGAGTGGATCTAGAGGCAGGCGACAGTTCTAAAGCCTTCCAAGGCCTTTGGTCAGTTTCGCTTCTCACTCTGGAACATCATCTCCAGGTGCCCGGTGCAGGGTCCCAGGCAGAGGATTTGCTTTGTCCCGCCCGGGGATTGGCAATAAACAGGAGGGGCTGTGGTGACAGGTTGCTAGAGCCCGCTGGACGTCCCCTGACATGGGTGTGCCCCTACCCTGTCCCTCTGTGCCTGTAGACTGTGCAGGTGCCCGTGTATTCAGAGCAGGAGTACCAGCTCTATCTTCACGATGATGCTTGGACAAAGGCAGAAACTGACCACCTCTTTGACCTCAGCCGCCGCTTTGACCTGCGTTTTGTTGTTATCCACGACCGGTATGACCACCAGCAGTTCAAGGTGAGCTGGTGTCCTGCTGGCCTGCATTTGCACATGTGTGCAGCCCCCAGGCCTGGCGGGCCCACTACCTTCATGCTCTCCCTTCCACGTGCCTCCGAGTGTTCATCCTCCCTCCCCCTGTGTCTTTATCCTCAGAAGCGGTCTGTGGAGGACCTGAAAGAGCGGTACTACCACATCTGTGCCAAGCTTGCCAATGTGCGGGCGGTGCCGGGCACAGACCTCAAGATACCGGTATTTGATGCTGGGCACGAGCGACGGCGGAAGGAACAGCTGGAGCGTCTCTATAACCGGACCCCAGAGCAGGTCAGCCCCGAGCCCCACAAACTCTCCTCCGTGCCCTGAAAACCCCTTACCCATTGCTTCCACCTCCACCCCCTCAACTCCCTCACTGCAGGTCCCCTCCCTCTGCTCCTCCCGGCCCAGCCCTGCCTCTCACAGGCCGGCCTCCTCGCTCTCCCATCACTGCCCTGAGCGCCTCCCACACCTCTCAGCATCTCTCACCGCCCAGGTGGCAGAGGAGGAGTACCTGCTACAGGAACTGCGCAAGATCGAGGCCCGGAAGAAGGAGCGGGAGAAGCGCAGCCAGGACCTGCAGAAGCTCATAACGGCGGCAGACACCACTGCCGAGCAGCGACGCACAGAACGCAAGGCCCCCAAGAAGAAGCTCCCCCAGAAAAAGGAGGCCGAGAAGCCGGTGTGGAGACTAAGTCAGCCCGGTGCAGGGTGGAGGGCTCTGAGAGTTCACAGAGCCAACAGGGGGCTGGGACTAACCCTGGGCCCCCTCCCAGTGACTTCTGGGTCTCCACACCTCCTTCTTCCCAGGCTGTTCCTGAGACCGCGGGCATCAAGTTCCCAGACTTCAAGTCTGCGGGCGTCACGCTGCGGAGCCAGCGGGTATGTGTCACCTCCTTCGCCGTGTTTGGGCCCTGCACTCTGCGGCCGAGTGCTGCAGGCCGTTGAGCTAGAGCCGATGGAGGGGGACGCACCAGGATCCCGGGGGGATGTGCCAGGCTGAGCTCACAGCTTTCACTCTATTTTGCTTGCTGGCTGTTTCCTTTTGTGACCCCGAGCTGCCTCCAGGGGTTAACTTTTCTTCTGCTACCCCAACTGCCTTTAGTCCCCTTCATCCTAAGCCACTGTAGGGGAGAGGGCTTAGCTGCCTGGGTCATTGCAGATGAAACTGCCAAGCTCCGTGGGACAGAAGAAGATCAAGGCCCTGGAACAGATGCTGCTGGAGTTGGGTGTAGGTGAGTGCAAGGGCTGGGCCCACAAGATGTGCCCATCCAGACAGGGAGGAAGGCTGGGTGGCGCAGGGCGTTCCTGCTGCCGGCCTCCCACCACCCAGCCCTGCCCCTGTGCCTTCCACCCACCTGTCCGCAGAGCTGAGCCCGACGCCCACGGAGGAGCTGGTGCACATGTTCAATGAGCTGCGGAGCGACCTGGTGCTGCTCTACGAGCTCAAGCAGGCCTGCGCCAACTGCGAGTACGAGCTGCAGATGCTGCGGCACCGGCACGAGGCGCTGGCCCGGGCTGGTGTGCTGGGGGGCCCCGCCACACCGGCTTCGGGCCCGGCCCCCACCCCGGCGGAGCCAGCAGTGCCCGAACCGGGTCTCGGCCCCGACCCCAGCAAGGACACCATCATCGACGTGGTGGGCGCGCCCCTCACGCCCAATTCGGTAAGTCTGGACAGGCGGGGAGAGCAGGAACCGGCCCGCTGGCAAGCACACATGTGTGCGTGCACGAGCTCCGCCCCTGTCGTGCCTGCCGCAGAGATCATCACTCTGAGGGGCTCTGAGGCCACGCTGAGGGAGTGGGTGGCCAGTGGGCATCACCTTCCCTAAGAGTGTGAAACACATGCACAAAGGCTGAATCCGGCCTTGCAGGCCATTGACCTCGGCTCTTTGTGTCTCCTCAGAGAAAGCGACGGGAGTCGGCCTCCAGCTCCTCTTCTGTGAAGAAAGCCAAGAAGCCATGAGAGGCCATACGGGTGTGGGAGGCTGCTGTGTAAATAGAGCTGCTGAGTTGGACTGGGCTGCTTCCTTTCCTTCCCACCACTTCTGATGCCCCTGACTGGGAGGGTGGGCAGGAGGGGGTCACCACACCCACTCCATGGGGTGGCACTAGGGCTTGCTGGCACTGAGGCCCTGAGCAGCTCCTTAAACACTGACCCGTTTTGCCCAAACACCTGTACTCGGGAACACCCGTGGTTCAGCACTCGAGTGGTTCACGTACAGTTGTGGCCTTAGACCTAGCTACTTGGAACACTGCCTTGTGCTCAGACAGTCCCCATGGCTCTCTGCGTATTTAGTAAGGGTCTCATAGGTGCTCCAGTGATGGCCAGCTCTACTGGTGGCCTTGAGCACAGAGCAGTCTGGCACGTGCTCTAACCCCCGCACATCCAGGCAGCATCAGGCACAGCACAACCTGGTCCACACACACACACCCAGGGCCTCGTTTCCCCGACTTTATTCAGTGGTACGTTCACAGCGGGGATGGGGGTAGACACAAGGTGGGGCCTGATCTGTCCTGGAGCCCTGGGGGCACCACACACCATGCACTACAGATGGGAGGGGGCACAGGGGGGCTCAGTGGCCCCAGCAGAAGCCTGTGTACCAGGGAGAAGATGGTGAAGAGGAGGTCCCCCAGCCCAAGCCCACAATGGGAGGGGCTGACACTGAGCTGAGGTTGAGGGGTGGGGATGGGGGGCACGAAGTGTCTGTTCCAGAGGGGCCAAGTGGCCAAGCCTTACCCAGGGCACAAGCTTACAGGGCAGGCTGGGGGACACTCTGGACGTAGAGCTGTGCCACTCTCCTTTTGCCCCTCTGGTGAGGGAGAGGAGGGCTCTGAGCTGGGCCAAGCAGCTACCCTGTCCTGCCCCATCCCGTCCTCGGCCAGTCAGAACGGCTTTGATGTCTGCTTGAAGATGAAGCCTCGATATGCCAGAGTCTTCATGATGTTGGCAATGTTCTTGCAGTCATCTAAAAAGAGGAAGAGGAGACGATTTAGATGGGCCCCAGACCCTTCCCCTCTGGGCCCAGAGGTGCTCTTACACAGGTGGGGGTAGGAAGCGGGGCTGGATTCAGCAGCCACAGGCTCTACACCAGGGGGTCCTGTCCCCAGGTGGCAGCATCTCCAGCTTCAGGTTGAGCTGGGTGATGCTGGGCCGGCAGAAGCCTGGTCTCAGTGCTTCTCAGCCCCATAATTCATGCTGGAAATTGGCCGGCGTGTCCCGCCCCGGCCCCAGCGGTGATGTATGGGCGCCGTCGCAGTAAGAAAAAGGCAGAGTAAATGTGTAATTTCTCCCTTGACGGCCCCTGGCCGCTGGGCGATTCTTCTTGTTGCCGCCGCGTGGGGACGGCCCGTCCGCCACACTCCGTCTTCCCGCCACCCGCCTTGATGTCTCCATTTCATTACTGTGCGGCCATTCATCACGCCCATGGCCAGGGTGACTTTGCCGGCACTTGCGTGTGTGTGGATGTGGCCCAGGCCATAATCACTGGTGACAAGGCACATGCCTCGGCACTTCCAGGCCAGGGCTCCAGGTTTGCCTGCTCCAACAGCCACCCCGCCTGGGTGCCTGCTCCTGTGCAGCCCAGGTCGGTGGAGAGGAGCCAGGCTTGTGGTCCTCCGACACCCTGGCCAGCAGCATTCTACTGGGCACCTGTGTAGCTCAGCCCAAGCCCTGCCTCTCCCACCCTGGCAGGCGTGCTGGTCAGGCTTCTGCCCTGTCTCTGGCTGTATCTCAGATGAAAAATGTCTGTGCCAGCCAAACCCTGCCACAGCAGTTTCTGCAGTACTGGTCCCTATGAGAAATTCCATGGTGAAAACTCTAGTCCCTATGGCTGCAGGAACAGGTACTCCTGGGGCCTCAGTATCATGGCATAGGCCAGGATGCCCTTCACCTGCCTCCCCTTTCACCCCTCTCCCACTGCCCATGGATGCCCCTGAGATGTAACCAGGACCTCAGCGACAGCAGCCCCCATGGGATCAACGCTGTGATTGCAAAAGCACTGTATGTCGATGTCCTAATCAGGTGTGTGGGGCGGTGGGTAAGGTCCAGGTGAGGTCAGGAGGCCCCTGCATCTGTCAAGGACCAACCTCCTCTGCTGAGCTTGCCAGCCCCTTAGACTAGTAAAGGGGACCTAGCAGAGCTAGAAAAAGACTTGTGGGAGTGGGAGGAGTCTGGTCAGGCCAGGCCTGTATCAGCCAGGCGACAGCTTTGCAGACCTTGCACAGAGCAGATAAGCTCTCTGGGTCTGGCCAGACAAGTCACAGAGGGTCCTGTCTCTCCCAGCTCAATATGAAAGTAGCCGTGGTGGGTGTGGGCATGGACAGGTGGCCCAGGCACAGGAACACCTTGTTCTCCAGGCACTCAGAAGCCACGAGGGCTGGTCTGAGGCAGAACAGTGGGAAGACAGATGGGTGGGTAGTGGCGGCCATGGCAACTCCAGACGTGACCCATCCCCGTGGTTTATGGGCCGGACACATGCCCCGCTCAGCTGAGGCCCCATCATTTGTCTCCCTTAGTGTGTATGCCTGTGCTGTGGGGTAAAGGGTGGAGGGAGGGGCCGCGATAGGAGCTAGGCAGTTGACAGGAGGGGGAACGGGGCAGGAATGGCTGTGCAGGAGGGGTGGGGGTGGGACAGCACTGGCTTGAGAGTGAGAAAGGTTTATGACAGGGTCCAGAGGCTGTGATGGCACCACTGAAAGGGCTACGATAGGGTGATTTTCTTCCCAAATAAGTCTGGCCTTGTCAGGGCACCTCCAATCCTTCCTGTCTCTGGGACTCTGGGGACCATGGCCGCTGTGCATATTAAGAATAAGTCTCCTCGTTATCTGCAATTACCCAGCGGCCACACACCTCATTTCTTCCAGCAGAAAAGAAAATTAGTTTTCTATTGACTTCATCTGGCTCCTCCCTCATTGCTGGACAAATCGTTCAATCTGCCTCCCCTGGCCCAAGTGAATGTGCTCAGCCCCTCCCCGCAGGCCACCAGCCACCCAGTGGGTGAGCACTGACCTTGCACCTGTGCCTGGTCCGGGGCTGGGGGAAGGTCATGTGCCCCAGCCTTGTCCCTTCCCTCTGCCCCCTCCACACACCAGATGGCTTCATCCACACCTTGAGCTTCAGCTACACCTGAAGATCACTGTCTCCATTCTGGACCTCTCTCCTGAGCTCCAGACCACAGATCCAAATGCCTCTGGAACATCTCTTTCTAGATATCCATACAAACTCAAAAACGTCTGCTAATGAACTAATTTTCTCCCTCAAGCTTCTTCACTCCCGTGTTCTCCATCCCAGTGAATGGCACCCTGAAATGTCCCCAAAAAAACCTGATTCAAGCTTGACACCCTGCCCTCTCCCCGACTCCCCAAATCCGACTGAGTATGAACTGTAGGTTTTATCTCCTCACTCTCTGTCTAACCATCCACTTCCTTTCATTCCAGCACCCACCTCCCAGTCCGGACCCCAGCATCTCTTACTCTCACAACAGCAGCTGGTCCTCTTTCTTCTGCCTTTAATCCATTCTCTTGTAGCCAAAGTGATCTTTCTCACACAAATCTGATCACGTTCTTTTCTCTTTAAATCCCTTCAGTGGCTCCCTTGCCCTCAGTTTCAAGTCACACACTCTTTAGTATGACTTTAAGGTAAAGGCCCTGCAAAAGCAGATCCCTGCTCTCTGGCCTAGCCCCTGCCAGAACACTTGGGGAAACCATTTGTCACTTGTGTCACAAACTCTGACTACTGACCCTGTCTGCCAGGGATTCTGGAGTCTAACTTGTTGCCACTGGTCTTCTACAATGCAGACAGAGACCCAGACTGGGGAAGACACATTCCAGCTCACCTAGCAAGTCAGTGGTACGGTTCTTTCTGAATGGGCTTCCAGCCCTGGAAGCCTCCCTGCGTGCAACCCACTGATTACACAGAGATAAATCTGGGGCTTTTTAGAGACCAAAAGTTCAGAGAGAGCAGCAGGGAGCCTGGTGACAACACGACCTCCTGGAGAGTCCTCTCTTGAAGCCCTGGGGCCACCTGGGCCAGCAGCCCCAACTTCTGGCACTTCATTCAGCTAGTGAGGCCAGCTGGAGGCTGTTCTGGGGTAGGGGGGGACAGCCTTGTGCCCACAATAGAGCCCTCCGAGAGCTGGTCTTCTTCATCTCCAAACCCTAGAAGACTAACCTGTTTTTATGTTCCTGCAGGGTCATCAACTTGTGACAAGACGACCCTCTTCTTTTTTGGGCATTAATATTCTTAATGTTGGAATTAATTCTTAATGTTTTTATACTTAATGTTTTGTATACTGGGACAGTAATGGGAGGGGTGCAGCTGCATAAATCCCTCAGAGCGGTGAGTGGGGCCAGCATCTAGCAAAGGATGAGCTTGGTGGCTGGGCCCAAGGGTAGTCAAATATCTGCTTGGCAAAGTAGCTGCTAGTGGAAGGTGGCTCAGATTGCTTAGGACACCCAGGGAGAACTCACACAGGGCAAGCACCTGAGGCTGACAGGCTCCAGGTGGCTGCACTTGTCTGGGAACTGAACGGTAGAGGACAGGATGCAGAGCCTGGGCCAGGGCCACCCTCAGGAAGGAAGGGGCCAGAAGAAACTCTCAGAGGACCACTTATTCATGCACTCATTCATTCAGCAAATACACACTGACACCTTCTGTGTGCTGGGTGCACATGGCCATGCTGGGCCATAGGGCTGCAGACTCTGTAGCTCCCTGCCCTCAGGAGCTCAGAGACTGTGCCTCTAAGTGGTGCAGTGTGAGCAGTGCTGAGAAAAGGAGGTGCAAAAAAACCCGTGCTCAGTCTGTGGGTCCAGAAAGGGTTCCTGGGAAGACGAGGTTAAGCATGTGGAGGGGCCTAGCCAGCAAGCTGGGGTCGAGGGGAGGTGTTCTCAGCATAGTGGACAGCCCACGCACACTTCTGGAGGGGGAATGTGGAGTGTCCCCCCAGAATTTAAGTTTAGCAGGTCGTGGGGGTGATGAAGAGGCAGGGGAGTGGTAAGAGATGAAGGCGGCGAGGTTAGCAGTGACTAGCTAGAGGAAACCCTGCAGAGCCCCGAATGCCAAACTAAGCAGCTTATAATTTTATTATTATGGGAATGATGGGGAGACACTCACATGTTTAAGGAGGCACATGACCAGACCTGTGTTTCAGAGTTATCTTTTGAGGACTGGAGGGGTTAACCCCAAAGGCAGAGACACCAACTAGCAGATTGTAGTATGTATTTCTGGTCCAGGCCAGAAATGGTGGTCCAGGGCTAGGCCAGTGGCAGTGGAGATGGAGGTGCATATACATTGTTGATGTGGAGAAGTGGATGGAGGCAAGAGACTTTTAGGGAACAGAATGAGCAAGGCTGGATGAGGGGACTGGGAGGGCTGAGTCTAGGATGTGAGAGAGGGTAAACCAGAGAAGGTGCAAGTTAGGGGCAGCAATGAACTTAGCTTTGGATGTGTTAAGCCTTGAGATTCCTATGGGACATCTAACCTTATCAGGCATCTCCTTTATGGCTTCTAGGCTTTATATCTTGCTTAAACAGGCCTTCCCTATCCCAGTGTTATTAGAAAACTATCATATTTTCTTCTAATACTTTCAGCTTTTAAATTTAACTTTGAATCGGCCTGGAGTTTATTTCGTATGTGGTGAGAAACAGATCTAACTTTATCTTTCCGCTAGTAGATCCAGCCAGTTGTTCTGTCACTGACTGAACGGTCCACACTTTCCCTGCACATTTGGAATGATGCCTCTCTCCTACACACAACTGGGATATGTGGATCTGTCAGAGCCAGAGAGAGAATGAACATGACATGATCAGAGGCAAGCCGGACTTAGAGGACATTAGGAGCAGCAGGGTGACAAGCCGCTGACCGTATGGGGTCATGAGGCAGTGTGGCCTGGAGGAAGACTCAGACACAACCTAAAGCCTCTTGCCTAAAAAGCTCAGCCTGGCGATGCAGCTTACTAGTGATCTCTGG